TGTCCACAGTGCTTCTGTCCCTGTTGTCTGTCTGCAGTGCGTCCTCCACTGTCCTGAGGCTGTCCACAGTGCTTCTGTCCCTGTTGTCTGCAGTGCGTCCTCCACTGTCCTGAGGCTGTGCTTACGGCCCGTGTTGTTTCTTGCAGAAACCCTGGTGGACCTGATGTCAACAGTGGTGAGGCTGTGTCCTGCTGTTTGTGAGAGTAGCCACTTTGCTGTGCTGCTTGGGACCTACAGTGCCACCCTCAGCATCTTGGGTGAGGAGGACCTGATGGGCAGGCTGTGTGGGCAGAGCTGGTGGGATGTACCCTCTTGTATACTTGAGGGCTCAGCTTTCTGAAAGTGGCCTTCATTTACCTTCTAGACCAGAAGATTTTACTTCTCCTTCGAGCGTATGAACAGAACAACCTCAGTCTCATCAGCTTCAGGTGAGTGTTGGGTTGACAGGTGGCCATGAATGAAAGGGCCCTGGGGACATCAGCCCTTCTCCACATAGCACATTCGAGACTTCTTACTCTTTTTGTTGTTTAAAACTTTTATTAACATTTGTATTTCCTTATTTTATATGAATGTGGGAATTTTATATGAATGTTTATGCCACAGACCTCCACATAAGTGCCAACAGGAACCAGACTCACACCATAGTACTTGCCATGTCTCATGGGACTCTATGGGCAGCTGTGCAGGAGATTATGGGGCCGCATAGGGTGGGGTCTCCAGGCAGGGTTGATTAAAGACTCGTGTGGCAGCCCTAGCGGGCTGGTCCCTCCTGTGGGAGCAGGAGGTCAAGATCCTATAGCTGTTTTGGCCTGCCGTGGAGCCACGCCCCATCATATAGAATCCCGGCTCTGCTACTGACCAGCTGGCAGGTGAATGACCGTGTGACTTCCCAGTCCAGTCAGTACATCTTCTCCCCGTTGCACAGGAAATGGCCATGTAAGCCATGGGATAAATGCACAGACTAGGTGAATTGATGCCAAAGTCTGGCCAAATACATCAAGAGTAGTGTGTGACATAAGTGCTGACTTGTGATGGTGTCCCTGCACCATCACCATCACCAATACCGTGCCCCTTTCAGAAGCTGTACTGGGCATGAAGTGATAGAAGATATGTGCTTACCCAGAATGGCGCTTGGCATGAGTTTGATCCTACTGATGCTACATGTTGGGGTTGTTGTCATCAGTTGTGTTCCTGGTGTGTCCTGCGACCAGTCTGCTCTCCTCTCTGGCTGTAGGGTTCTGCTGTGGGGCCCAGCAGCTGTGGAACATCACAAGACATGTCGGAGCCTGGGCAAGTCGCTGTGGCAGCAGCCAAGTGTCGGGGACATCCTCCGCCTGCTGGACCCAGACCGAATGATGCAAACCATCCTGCACTTCCCGCAGTACCGGAGGCTACTGCCCACTGAGGTGTGTTGCTGCTCTTCTCCATCCCCCTTGCCACTCTAACTTTAGCCCCGTGACCATCACTGAAGCTCGGTCACACTGGTCACACTGTTTTATTTATTACCCCACAGGCTTAAAGCAAGCCTCAAAAATCACATTCTCATGTGTAAACTCTGCTTTTTATAGAACTGCTTATTCTTATGCTTTATGAGGTCTGACCATGGGGTCAGAGTTCGGATGGTCAGCGTCCATGATGATGATTGTATGTTTCTGGCTTGGGCTGTTTCAGGACACAGGGGAGCCGCTGGTGTTTAAGGACAAAACTGTGAGGGTTGACCTCGACAGCCTCTATGACCCCTGCTTTCTTCTACATCTCTTTGGGGAACTGACCAGGCCAGGTGAGCATACTGGATTGCTGCTCCTTCTGCAGTCAGATTCCTGCTAATTGTCATGGCTCCCAGGTTAGTGCTGAGTCAGAAGACATTCTTTTAGGGTGTGTGTTTATTTTGACTGTATGGCTGGGTTCTTCGGTTCCAAATCTAGGGCACAGGGGCACAGTCTGCCTTGATCCTAGAGCCCTGAGCTGATCTGCTTTCTCTCCCTTTCAGTCATTACAGACTTTTTGGGTTGTTTGTTTAGTCATGATTACTGTGCATCGGATGTTTGGCACACATGGCACAACACACATGTGGAGGTCAAAGGACAGCTTTAAGGAGTCAGGTTCCTGCCTTACTCTGGGTCCCAGGCATCAAAATCAAGTTGTCAGGCTCTGTAGCAAGCACCTTTATCCTTCTAAGTCACCGTGCCCACCCATAGGTTTATTTAGTGTCATGTTCAAGGTCTTTAGCTGTACCTAATTGGAAGAACAAGGGAAATTGTTCCTTTTTTCCCAGAATTGAGACTTGAATGTAATTATTTTTAGTGCTGGAGAATGCATTCAAATTTTAAAATTCATTGATAGAAGAGTAAAACCTTAAGGCATACAATAAAAACATCTGCATCTGACTTCTAGACAGGGTTTTCTTTTTATTTACTTAAAAGTTTGTATTTATTTTGTGTGTGTGTGTGCGTGTGTGTGTGCGCGCGCGCGCATATGTGTGTAGCAAAAGGTCCCAGCAGTCTTCGCACTCCACCACAGCCAGGTATTGCTGACCCTGACATAAGTCAGGCCCCCTGATTCTTCTTCTGTCTCACTGCCTCACTTTCAGCCCTCTGTGGAGATGGGACCTGTTTTCATAACCTTACTACCTCCCCTCTTTGAGTCCTTGGCCAAGGAAGAGGGCCAGCCAAGGCTGTGTCCAGTGGCAGTGACAGATGCTTTTTCCACAGCAGATCTTGTGCTGTGCAGAATGGGGCTGTAGTCTGCAGTTCGTAGCTGGCACAGCGTGTTTGGAATGCCATTGCCAGGTGCCCAGAGCACTGGCCAGTGAACTCCTCTCTCTGGAATGTTTTGCAGTTCATGACTGAGGATGTCATAGAAAAGAGGCTGAAGAGCACTTCCTGGTGCTTCTAGAGCAGAACCACATGTGGTACCATCAGTGTCCACTAAACTTGAATGCTTTGGGTTTTATCCTTGGTCATTGTCCTGTCTAGCCATCTCAGGATTTTAAAGCTGGTTTTAGGTGACATTGCTGTTCAAATGGTTCTTAAAGCAGAATAGCATTTCTAGCCTGTTATATTTTCAGCACCGAAGGGCAGACCTTTTCTATAAGTACAAAGACAAGACCATAGAGCAACAACGTCACAAAATAGAAAATTGCTTTTCCTCATGGACACGTGGAAAATTCATTTGTCTTAGAACGTCAGTAGTTACTAAGATTATCCCAGCCACCAGAGTTCCAGATCTTTTCATTGAGGGTAAATTAAATGTTTAGATGTTCTCTCTCACAATTATATTCCATTCATGAATATTTATTATGTAGATATCTCTTAAACACATTTGTTCTCCAAAGCAGTATTATCTACTGTTTGATGCTTTTAAAAAATTTTTCGTTTTCTTTCCACATCAGAATTCATCAATTGTTAGAAATTGGATAATTGGGTCCCTAAGTTACTGGAACAGTCACCTGATTGGTCTTTTCCTAGTCTTTGCTTCCTGTCTACATTTTAACATCAAGTAGGTTCTCATAAGCAGCACATACTTAACCTGAGTCTGGTTTTAGTGTGACCATCTCTGTCTTTTAGCTGGAGTATATGCATCATGTATACTTAATGAAATCATAGTTCTGATTCAGTTTTATCCCTAAGGGGTGGCTGTGGTTGTTTTAGGGCTTATATCATACAATTTATGACAGTTTACCTTCCAGCCAGATGGCTTTGCTTCCTCCATTGTGTAAGAGGCTGACCATGGTATAGACCATTTCTCCTTTCTCAGTGTCTTAGTTAGGGTATCTATTGTGACAATGAAACAACATGACCAGAAAGCAAGTTGGGTAGGAAAGGGTTTATCTGGCTCACACTTCCACATCACTGCTCATTGTTAAAGGAAGTCAGGACAGGAACTCAAGCAGGCAGGAGCCTGGAGGCTGTAGCTGAGGCCATGGAGGGGTGCTGCTTACTGGCTTGTTCCTCAAGGTTTGCTCAGCCTACTTTCTTCTAGAACCCAGGACCACCAGCCCAGGGATGTACCACCCACCATAGGCTGGACTGTCCCGCTTTGGTCACTAATTAAGAAAATGCCCTACCATTCTTAAACCTTTCGCTTTATTACCTATAAATCTCATGATTATTAGTTTTACCTCAGTTTTTCATAGTTTCCTTTATTTCTGTGCTTATGCTGCTGCGTACAGCCTGGGTCAGCTTGAGAGAAGTGTGGCCCTTGTTTCTGTAGGTTCTTACCAGGATTTAGTCACCCTCCTGGCTTCCTACACGTTGCCCTGCTGCTCACTGCAATTGTCATGACTTTTGGCTGTTTTTTCCCTTTGTATTTGGGTTCAGATAGTTTCTCTTGCAGTCTTCTGTGTTACTGACCTATTCCTCGGTATCTGATCTCAGTCCCAGTCATTGCACTTTCATCCCCACATCCCAGCTAACACCTCCAGAAGCTGCTGAGGTAATCATCCTCTCCATCTTTGTCTTAGCACACACCACCTTTGCTTCAATTTTAAATTCATTCCATTGACAATATATTCCAAGAGTGTTCATATAGCACACTCATTTTGGTTTGCTTCTATTAGTTGCTGATTGGGTTAATGGCCACTCAGTCTAAAAAGCATTTTTATGATGGGGATTATTACTAAGAGCCTCTTTTCTGAGGCTCTTGGGTAGAATTATTCCTGGGGAAAAAGACCTGAGTTCCCATTAAAGTGTTGCTGAAGAGATACAGCTTCTGCGCTGAGAGTCAAGCCCTGTCACTGTATGGAATTGGTGTTCCTGTGTACGTGATCCGACTGTCCTGCACTTTCTCATAGCAGTCACGAGTGCCTTGAAGACTCACAGAGAGGGGCTGGAGAGATGGCTCAGAGGTTAAGAGCACTGCTTGCTCTTCCAGAGGTCCTGAGTTCAATTCCCAGCAACCACATGGTGGCTCACAACCATCTATAATGTGATCTGGTGCCCTCTTCTGGCGTTCGGGTGTACATGCAGGCAGAACATTGTATACATAATAAAATAAATAAATCTTTAAAAAAAAAAAAAAAAAAGACTCACAGAGAGCAAATGATGTCATCCAGCAGGTTCTTCCTGACCCCGTCAGTGCTGAGAATCATGTTGTGGCCTTGTGTGTAGCAGGCAAATATTCTGCCACTGAGCTGTGTTCCCGGTCCCAGCCTCAGCAGATGTTTTTAACTGTTGCTTTTGCTTGGTAAAGCAGTCTACAGAGAGTTTTGTTGTGTTTTTAAAGAGTAAAGGAAGGAAGGTTGCCAGAGAGAAGGTAGGGAAATCCTTTGTAAACAGGATGGGCCCAGGACCCACTGGTTTGCTCTGGCTGAGCTTCCTAACTTAGTGTTCCTTCTGGTGCTTGTACGTGGCACAGAGGCACAGGCTGAAGAAGATAGAACCTGGAAGCCAGGTCCCTTGCTGTGTCCATTCTGCTGATGTGCTGAGATTTCAAGGTGGAGCTCAGTGTTGTCCTCACTTTTTTCAGCTTTGGTGGGCATTTGTAGTGTCTTAGAAGCAAGGTAATCTTTGCCACAGAAGAGAAGATACCCATGTCTAATCTGAGCAGCCAAAGAGACAATTGCTTCCTGTGTCCAGCGTGTGCAGCTGGCATTGGTAAGATGTAAAAGAAAGTTGAATCGTGTGTTTATTAATTTACTTTCTGTAGAGTTTGTGGTGGATTGTCGAAAGTTTTTGGATTCAAACGCTCTGGGTCTAACTGTGGCAGCCCTCAGCAGCTATGACCCCCAGATGCGAGCTGCAGCCTACTGTGTCCTAGCAGCCTACTACTCACACCTGGAGGGAGCTCGCTTCCGGGAACAATCCCAGGTGAGTAGGGATTGTAAATCTGTGCAGATGAAGGGAGGCTTTGGGGAGCTGGCTGTCACCCTGGGTAAGAGGAGAGTTTACCCTGCAGTGTGGAGACGGCATGGGTAACAGGCACAGCGCTTACCTTGGGAGGCTGTCCCCCAACCCCAAGGCCCAGAGCAGAGTGGGGAAGGCTTCCCCTGCACACTATGGCTAGACAGTGTAGCTTCCTTCTTTTGAATGTGTCTTTGGTCTAAACTCAGTAGTGAAGGCAGCTGTCATCTACATTGTCTGACCCCCAGAAACTCATACCCCATGATGGTAGAGGAACAGGGGAAGATTGAGCTTTGAGGGCACAGTGTTGGGCCTCTCTCACCCATGGGCCTACTTCTAAAAGGAAAGGCAGAAAGCATCTCAAACAGGATGGCACAGTTTTCTTCCTGCTGTGGCTTCCTGTTTATCCCCAGGTTGGAAGGAGCAGGGACTATGTGCAAATCTGTGACAAAACACTCACCTTCTGAAAATGCTCATCTTTCCCTTCTGTTCAGGTTCTGTACCTGTTGGATGTGGTCCGGAATGGAATTAAAACTCCAAACATGAGGCTCCCTTTTATCGTGGCTCTTTTCATCGCGAAAGCAGCTCTGCAGATCTTGAAACCAGGTATCTAGTAGATTCTAGTTGAGGAAAAACAAACAGAAACAAGGTTGTGTGAGTCTGCTCTGGGAGTCAGTCCCACAGGTTTCTTCACAGTGCTTCCCCCTGCCGCTAGGATTGCTGAGAGGCAGAGGAGTCAGGCACTTCAAAGCCCTGTCGGTTGCCTGGCACAGCATACACCCGACTGCGTGGGTAGCTGCTTGTCTGGCAGTGGCTCACAGATCCATGCCCAGCAGAGGCCAAGGTGTGTGGTTCCAGGTAATCGGCTCGAAAGCATTAGTCGTTATGTAGGGTAGAACGCAGCTTCTTGGGAACAGGGCCACCTCTGAAAGGACATGCAAGTGACATGGCTTTATTCACCAGAAGGCCTTGTTTAGGGTCATCAGAGAAAACAGTAGGAGGCTGGCACTGTTGGAGACCGCAGGGCTCTGTTAGTCTAGCAAGGCCATAATCTCAGCTGGAGAAACAGCCCCCAACTAATATCCACCTCCTCAGCAGCTGAGGCCTTCAGGGGAGGCAGCGTGTCCCCAGCCCCTCAGTCAGTGTGTGCTCATATTGCTCTTAAAAACCAGGTCTGGTTTTCCTCTGTTCATGTCATTTCTATGACAGGTTTCCCTGCCTTGAAAACTTGTGGAAGATGCAAAATAATTCTCACTTTGCTGATGTAAAAGAGCCTGTTAGGAGAAAATATAGTAGAGATCAGATGTTCATGGCTATAGTCACTCATTGAGTCTGTCTGGGTATAGCTGTCCACATCAGTCCTCATGCCAAGGAAGGTTTGGCTTGGAGACCAGTGGCCCCTAGGACTGTAGGCTGCAGCAGGAAAAGAAGGTGTGCCCTCCCTGCCTTGTGTTCCAGAACAGCTGTCTGAGCCTCTTTTCTGGGTCGGCTCCTTTCTGGGAGGGGCTGGAATCAGGCAGTGTGGGCCTGTTTCCTCTGTGGCCAAGGCCATGGGTGGTTTCTAAACCATGTGGGGGGTCCTACAAGCAGAAGTGCTCTCAGACAAGTGATCAGAAGGATGCAGAACCTCCACTGGGCAGGGATTTATGTCTGATTTGCTGAGTGACTCCATACCGCAGTCCATGCACTGCCAGCCATCCCATGAGGCTGTCAGTGACCGGCTGCATGTGTCCTCAGAGGAGCACATGTACTGGAAGATCAGCAAGTTCCTGCTGTCACATGAGAACTTGAACATGGACAAGCTGCCAGGGTTCTACCAGTTCTTCTACAGCTCTGACTTCCAGGTAATGTCCCCAAGTCCTCAAAGTCCTCAGAGACTCGTGAACAAGATTCCTTGGCGGCCACATCTTCTGCTTTCCCAGTCCCATTGCCCAGACAATGCAGAGCAATGTCACAGAAAGGGGCCATTTGTGCTGCCCCATATAGGCAGCCATGCACGCTCCTGTGTCCTGGCACTTTCTGTCTGAGTCCAGAGACTCATAGCCTCCATCCTGTATTTCCTTGTGAGTGCCTTGACTAAGTGTTACATACCCTTCTAAAAATCGCCCACCCACTCAAACATGGCCTAGTACTTAACTCGACTTGGCCTTTGATTTCTGAGCTGATAAGATATAAGGCTGGAGCTGTTAGCCATCACCTGAAGTCAGTGGTGTTTGATTGTCCAACAAAAAGCTGTAACTTATTTAACAATACCTTCTTGTTTATCTGACCTAGCAAAAAACTGAACAAGAATGGGTGTTGGGAATTCTGCGGCAGGGGATTAGAGACAAGCACTGTTATGAGCTGTGCTCCAGAAGAGGGGTGTTCCACATCATTCTTTCCTTCTTCAGCAGCCCCTTGTGTGACGAAGCGGCTCAGGTGAGCATGTTCCCTGACTTCACTGCATAGCTCACGGTGTTCTCTGTTGCTCTTCAAGTTGATTTGTTCACAGGCTTAGAGCGAGAAGTCTGGTATCCTTTGTTCCCTGATGGCGGTATCTTCGCAGCCTTCTTACCAGCCTGTTTCCTTTATCCAGGGAAAGGAGCTAGTTAATGGTCATAAGCCTGTGGACTTAGCCAAAAAGCCAAGATGCAGATTACCCCACATGAGTGGCAGGTGCCCTCCAGCCCCCAGCTTTCCATTTGGCATATGGAGATATAAGACCTTTACAGAAGAACCCCAGCCCTGGGGAGGCTGAGGCAGGAGGATCACAAGTTCAGGGCCAACTGTCAGATGCCTGTGGACAGTCACACTGTGTGTTTAGTTTTATTGGTTAACATCAGTTATATTATTTTTCTGCAATTTACTCCTTTTGTTTCTGAAACAAGATCTCACTTTGTAGCCCTGGCCAGCCTGAAACCTGCTTTTCATGCTGTGCTGCTGGCCTTGAACTTGGAGCACTCCTCCTGCCTCTTCTCATATGCTGGGATTGAAGACATGGCCAGACTTGCAGTTGACTTTTTTTTTTTCCTTTTGGTTTTTCAAGACAGGGTTTCTCTGTATAGCCTTGGCTGTCGTGGACTTGCTTTGTAAACCAGGCTGGCCTCGAATTCACAGAGATCCAACTGCCTCTGCCTCTGAGAGTGCTGGGATTAAAGGTGTGCGCCACTGCACCCAGTACAGTTGACTCTTAAAAAGTTTATGTTACATGTAGTCCCTAAAGTAATAAGTCTCTAAAGTGTTTTCTGTTAGTTGTTTTTAGTTGTTCAAGTCGATTTGCTCTTCCACTAAGAACTGACTTGTTGGGCTTTTCAGAATTGGATTCTGGAAATTTTGCAGAGTGTTGCCCACATCACCAGATGTGCCTATGAAGTCATACGTGACTATAGCCTTTTGACATGGGTTTTACACATCCTTGAGAGCAGGTGAGTACCTTTTATATGAGCTGTCTGTTCATGCTGCCTCTAACAGTTTAAGATGTGCAGTAGTGTCCCCCTGATGTTCTCATGAGCTTGCAGTCAGCTCCTGGTGGTGGCCAAAGGGTCTTTCTTCCACTAACTCCTGATTTTCAGTGTCTCTTGTCTTCCTTGAAACAAAGCACAGCGGCATCCACACTGGCAGAACCCCACAGCCTTCCTGTCTGTTTTGTATCACACCCCTCCACTGGGATCAGCTCTCTAGCATCTGAGCCTCTAGGTCCAGACAGCTTGTTGGAGTGCCCGGTGAGGGTAGATGGGCTCTCAGGAACACTGGGAGGGTTGGGCAGGGATGCATCTGGCTACAGTGGAGGGATTGGGCAGCAGGTTCCTTGTCACTCCTGATAGTCTCCATCACTGTGCTTCTCTGTGAAGGCTGGGGCCCTGACACTACCAGGTGAGCTCTGTCTGCAACGGGCCAAGTGTAATGTGCCCAGGGGCCACTGAGTCTTTCTCTTCAGTTTTCAGAAGTAATTTGCAGTTCTTTGAGAAGGACTCAAATATACATGCTCAAGCCCTAGCCCCAGGAACTCTGCATATTTAACTGTCATGCTTTGCTACAAAGCTAGATGACTGTTTGTTTGTTTGTTTGTTTGTTTGTTTTTTTGTTTCAAGACAGGGTTTTTCTGTGTAGCCCTGGCTGTCCTGGACTCACTTGGTAGACCAGGCTGGCCTTGAACTCTGTGATCGGCCTGCCTCTGCCTCTCAGAGTGCTGGGATTACAGGTGTGCTACTGTAGATGAAACTGGTGTTGCAGAACATGTTTGTCATTGATTATTTTTAACCAAAGGGATTAAATGCTCTTTTTCTCCTAATATAAAAACTAGCTGTTCATACCTGGGAATAAACACTGTTGGAGATTGGCATTAAAAGGGTTTTGTTTTGTTTTTTTCTAAAATTTCTTTTGTATACTTGGTGGCTGGTTCTTGTAATCCCACCACTCAGGAGGCTGTGCCAGAGAATTTCAGGGAGCTCGAGGCCAGTCTGGGCTCTAGTGCAAGACCCTGTCTAAAAACACCAGGTCTTTCTAAAAGAAAATAACAGCTTAAGCCTTGTCTTCCAACATCAACTGCAAGTCTCTTTCAGATTTTTAAAGAAGACATAATTGGCTAATCTCCTGTCCCACAATAACCTTGTTTATAGCTCAAGTTGCTGCCATAACTGCCATGCTGTGCCTACTGTAGTGCTGGGGCTTGGAGCACTTTTCAAGTTAGAAAGTGCTCTAGCAGCCTCAGCCTGGCTTGAAATTGCATTTCTATATCAGATACCTAGTTTTACTCAGCAGATGTGCTCTGTGTGAGGGATGAACAGGTCAGGTTATTTAGGGCTGTCACCAGCATTCTGCCTACTCTGTGTCCCCATCTTACCCTCACAGTGATCTAGGCTGCTGCCATGTTTTGTTTCAGATTTGTGGAGACTCAGCTACTCTCCCACATGATCTCCTTGCTACACACCCTGTGGGTGACCAACCTGGGCAACAAAGCACCAGAGGATAAAAGCCAGCCGAATTGCCAGCCTGGCTCCCATGAGTCTCAGAAGATGCTGGCCTTGCACTTGGTCAGTGAGTTCCTGTATGTCCTCATCGCGCTCATGAAGCACCTGAGGTGAGCCCACCGCCGCCATGAGCTACCCTACTGTACAAGTCAAGGCTGTGATGGGTGTTGCTGCTTATTCTGTCACCTGTTGTCACCACCGCTCTCTCACAAACCAACAGGTGAGGCCTGAGCCAACCTCTGCTGTGGATTGGGACAGAGGGTCTTGACAGCAGCACTCTTCATTTTAGCCACCAGTGTTCCCATGAGGGCCCTGAAAACTTAGCAGACTGTTAAACCTACAAAGCTTTGGGCTAGGGAATTCTTAGCAGGAAAAAACTTCTGTGTTATGGTACTCCCCTCCCCTCCATCATCCTTACACAAATGAAGTTCCACAAAAGAGCATGTTTTCTGTGCACTCAGACGCAGCCAGGGTGCCCACAACCTGCCCTTACCACCGCTCCAGCCTCCGGAGATGCACATGTCCATGGAGTCCCCGAGCGTCAGCCCCTCAGCTGACCTGGAATCAGGCTCTAGGTTTCTCTGAGGGTCTAAATCCTCCTCATTCATTGTTGGAGAAAACGCTGTGCATTTAGATTTCCCATGTCAAAAGTTGATTTGTGTTAAAAGGGCAAAAGATTGACTTCAGAAAACAGGACTCAGAAAGTTTTTTTGTTGTTTTGCTAAGAACAGAACACTTGGTTTCATGTTGTCCCAAATTAAGTTAAGATTCTGGGGCTGGAGAAATGGCTCAGGTTAAGAGCACTGTCTGCTCTTCCAGAGGTCCTGAGTTCAATTCCTAGCAACCAAATGGTGGCTCACAACCATCTATAAGAAGATCTGGTGCACTCTATTTTCATGCAGATGTGCATGCAAATAGAGCACTCATATGTAAAATAAAGAAATCTTTTTTTTTTTTTTTTTTTAAAGAGCATTTGCTGCAAAAAAAAAAAAAAAGAAAGAAAGATTCTGCTGGGCAACCATACCTGTTACTTTGGGTTTGTCTGCTACGTTGCAGTGTCATAACTCATGTGCCCTGGAAATAGTGGTTTAGTGTTCAATCTGGTATGTAGCAGGTGATACTAAACTATCAGAAAGCTCTCTTTCCTCCACTGAGCATCATTTGGGCTTTTCCTGTAAGGTGGCACTGAACAGGGCCTGCCTGAGCTAAGAGAATTGGCATCCTAGAGTTCAGTGTCACTGGCATGGCCTGACCCTCAGTCATCCTGCCTGACTCTGCTGTTTAGCAGAGCTCTCCAAAGAGATTCTTCCAGCACAGAGTTCAGGTTCTGGGTCTTTCCAGAGCGCCGCACTTTTCCTCTCCTATGTCCTGAGCCCTCACTCGTTGCCTGTTAAAAAGAAGTGTAGTTTGTGTGACCCTGACTGCCCTGGACTGGTGAGGACAGGGTCAGCTTTTGCTCAGTCTGTAACATTGACTTCCAAACAGGCCCACCTTGGCCTCCACCCAACTCATCAACTTCTTTTGGACACTTGAGTCTGTGCTGAGTTATCGGGCCACCATCATAAAGGTCTTCGAGGATATGGGCCGATTCACTGTGAACAAGGTGACACTTTCTACAAAAGATGTCCTGGTCCTCTTATATAAGTGGAGCCTCATTGGAGGAGACACAAAGCTCCAAGGAGACCTGAAAGCAGTTGTTGAGCAGCACCAAATCAAGGACCTAATGAGTAAGTTCCAGCCTGCTGCCCCTGGTTCCACATGGAGCAGCCAGCATCCCTTCCTTAGCTGCAGTTGCAGAGCTCATGCACCACAGAGGTGGAAATGGGGTCCTGAGTTTGAATTCCAGCCCCATTGCCTAGTAGCCTTTTTTGTCTTTGGATAAGTCAGTACCTAAGTGTGTTAGCTTTCTGTCTCTGTGCTGAAATACCTAAGAAGATAAACTTAGAGCATCAAGGATTTTACCCTCCCTTTGTTTCGGTCCATGGTTGCTTGACCCCATTGATCTGAGCCTATATTGGTGCAGAATGTGATGGTGAGGAGCCTGTGGTAGAAGAAAACTGCTCACTTCATAGCAGCTAGCAGTCGAGAAGAGGGGGCAAGAAAAGGGAACCTGAGATCAGATACATCCTTCAAGGGAGCACTGCCTGTGGCCTACTTTCCAGAGTTTCCAAACCTCCCAATAGCCTGTTGCTCCCCCAACAAGAGCAGGATTCTCCTGAACCATTCACTTCAGCACTGCTGCATTGGGAGCGAGCCTAAAACACAAAGGCTTTGGGGGATGTATAATATTCAAACCACAATATGAGTGTTGAAGTGCTCATCTGTAAAGGAGGTGCCTTGTCCTCTGCTCTGAAGTCAAAAGAGCAGACTGGGAAGGCCTGGAGAAAGCACAGCCTGCACAGCGCTTGTCACACACGCGTAGGACCTGAGTTGGCTCTACAGAGCTCACAGCATCTGAATATGGCAAAGCATGTATAATCCCTGTGCTGGGAGAATTAGTGGGTCTCCAGAGCTTGCTCTGCCCGCCAGTGTAGCCAGATCGGTAAGCCCAGGTCCATGTGAAAGGCCTTGTCTCAAAACATAAAATACAGTTGACCAAGTTCAGTGCTCTACCAGAGAGCCAGAGTCTGTGTCCCAACACTCTGAGCAGGCAGCCAATGCCTTCACACACTCGTGCACACACACACATCCCAACATGATGCAGGAGGAGCTGTGTGGATGTGGCAGCCTCAACCGTACCATCTTCTTTCTGTGTTGAACAGAGATGCTCAAGGAGAAGAACAGGCCTGTGACAGCTGCCCGTGCCAAAGGCCCACGAGGCCGAAAGAAGAAGCACGGAGAGGTGGAGGAGCCTGCGGAGCCTGAGCTGGAAGCATCTAGTTTGGAGACATGCAAGGACCTCCTGAGGGCCACACTGACCCACTGGGGGCCAGTTGTCCCCTTGCCTGGCCCCATTCAGGAGTCTGTGGGTCAGGCTACCCCCAGGAGCAAAGTGCTGGACCCTGTACATGCTGCTGTGTCCCTGGTGGCCGGCTGGGTGCTGCGGTCATTGGCTGACCGCCCCCTCAGCAGGGCAGAAGTCACAAGACTCCTTGACTGGCTCACAAGCCATGTTTTGCCATACCCAGTGGTGGTCACTGACTTTCTCAGGGACAGTACTGTGAAGAGTGGCATCTTTAAGCTGTACAGTCACCACTGCAGTGTGCAGGGGCTGGCGGGGCCTGCACTGGATGTGGCCTGCAAGTTCAACGCTGTCATGCTTCAGTTGTTGGTGGCCCAGGGCCGGATAGATAGCCCTTTCCACTCGGTGGTGGAGGCTCTGTGCCTTGATTCTCTGAAAGAAAAGGATGAAGCCAAACGAGGTAATGTGGGCTCTTTATTCAGATCTAGAGAAATATGTGGAGTGGGAGAGGGTGGAGTTAGAAAGGTCTTCGGCTTGGTACTATGATTCTTAGCTGGGACCGCAGCAAGACTGGGAGTTATAGAAAGTGAGTGTAAAGAGAGAGGAAGTCTTCCTCCTTAATGACAATCATGCTTATTATAACAGGCACCCATAGAACTTTGAGGTTCCTCAAGGACATTCCACCCTACAGAGCAGAGGGTACCTTGACAGCAACTTAAACAAGGGACTGCTGTATCCCATAATAACCATAGACATAACAGTGCAAAGCCCTGGTGCATTGTAGGGGGGTGGTTTGCTTTCCATCTGAGCAAGTGTACATTCTAATGGCCTTGTCCAACTCCTCCCCAGCTCCCACAGCATTCCTGCTGTCCCTGTATATTAAGGACATCTGGCTGGGGGCCCAGCGGCCAGACACCTTTCTTGCTCACATCCAAATGGTCTGTGAAGCTGCGAAGGATGTGCCACATGATGAGGCGGAGGCCATTGTTTTGCTGTGCAGGAACATGAGCTCCGCAGCCAAAGCTTGACACTCCTGAGCTGTGCCCCAGCAGGTTCCAGAAAGCTTGGGAGACGTGAACTGATACATTCAGCTGTTTTCCAACAAGAAAAGCTAAGAGGACTTTATTTAACCGACCAACAAGGAAGGCCACGTGTTGACCTTGTAGTCAGAATTGTAGTGACTGGAGCACTGCCAGGCCACAAGGCCCATGCAGGATTCAGAGAGCTTCAATCCCCTCTCCTGGGAGAGGGGCTAAGCAGTGCTCGTAAGTACAGAATGGACTCATGGTGTTTGAGTCTTCTGGTGTGCATGACGGACGTGTGAAGCTATACTGAAGTCCCTAAGGTATGAAGCTCTACTTTGGGAAGACAGTCTATTTTTTTAAGTTATATTTCAAAACAGATTTTTGAGTTCTATAATGTTTTGATAATAAATAGCTATTTTTGTGAGTTACTTTTGTACTTCGCTTTCATTTTACAAACTGCTTTTATTCCAGAGACCTGCGTTTTATGGCAGAATTTAATGTTTATGGCTCACTGTTACTAGAGGTTGTCTCTGGTAGAGGTCAGTATGACATTTCATGATTTTACAGATGAGTATGCACTGGTTGCTTGTGTTTGATGTGCCACCAGGAGCTAGTGATTGGGTTTGTCTTGTGTGGTGCATGTAGTACTGAGAATGGCTTGGTTTTGACTTAAACGTTTACACTTTTATGTGCATCTGTGTGTCATCTTCTATAAAGACAGGGGTCCTACACCTTCAATTGCAGAGAACAGACATGAAGCCTGAGGACTGTGAAGTGAAAAGCCACCTGTAGATTGTGGTTTATTGAGACTGTCCTACTTTATGGGCACCTCTGACTGACATGCAAAGGGATACTAGCTGGAAAGACAGGATCAGGGTCATGTCCCCACAGCAGGCCTCTGAAAGCAAAGAAGTGGGATGCCAGACCCCAGCAAGTTTCCACAGCCCATTACAAGCTCCGGTCCTCAGTCATCCCTGGTGAGCTGAGCTGAGGTGAGGTCACTGCAATCAACAGTCACATGCTGGTGCTCCGATGGCGCCAGCTCCCAGGGTAGGTTATGGTGAGAAGTCACTGGCCATGGTCCCTTCCTGTCACTCTCCTGGCATGGTCTGTGTCCAGTTCACAGTAGAGACGTGGGAGCTAGCCGCTGCGTTTGGTGGTGGTGGCAGTGACTCCAAGCAGCACCCAAGCTCTCCATCTTTCTGATCAGTTCATCACCCCCAACTTTGGTGAGACCACAACTGACACTCATGCATGCGAGGATCAGAGAGTGGATGGTCCGGGGTCTTCTGTGCATGGCATTGAGCTATACAGCCAGCCCTCTAGACCTACGGTCCACCTCTGTGACACTAAACGGATTACCTCTGTACCGACCTGCAGAGATTTCCTTGTTCTGTAAGCGATGCAGTCACCTCATACCTCACTTTCTCACTGTAATGATGGGAGTCTAGAGGTGACGAAAGTGTGCCACAAGTAGGCCGAATACAAATATGGTTCCATTTTATAGAAGGGATTTGCTCATCCAGGTTTGGCATCACCCCACCCCTGAGTACCAAGAGGCTGCCTTAGCAGAAACACCATGGTGAAAAGGGAAAGTCATTATTAAAGAATAAACCCTGACTGTAGGCTTGTTGGTCGCCTACCGGTTTTCTGGGCCTAGTACTTCTGTATTCAGCCAGGGCCAGCGGTACTGGAGACCTCGTTGTTTCAGGCTCTCAGAGCCACAGTCCACAAAGCAGCATCTGAAATGGGAAGCTACTGGCTAGCTTTGAGACGTTCTTGGACAGTGCTGTAGGCTGGCTTCCCCAGATTCAGGCCCTGCTTCTGACAAGCTCCTCAGGCTCTATCTTGAAAGGCTGAGGGATGTGATCCAGCTGAGCCAGCCTGGGAAGGTCAGCAGGCATCTCAGCATCCTCACAGTGTATACCAAGTGTACTCAGACAGAAGGGATGATAGAGGCAAAGCAAAGCTTAATATTCTTTATCCTGACTCATGTTTTATTTTCCTATGCATCCCAAGCAAATGTAAGCAGCAAGCGGGTTAGGCATGCTCAACTGCATCAGCTATGTCTACGGCAGCTTCTCCGTCCTTGCCAGACTATTAATGTCTGTGATGGTCGTCCTTGTGGACCTGCTTTGTCAGCTGGTCAGTTTCTTGCTACATTTAAGACCATTGTAAATGGCCTTAGGAAGACATAGCTGTCCAGGTTGGTTTGAGTTCCCTAGTTCTCTTGGCCATGATTGGCTCGCTGGATTCATTGGCTCTAGAGTTGAGAGGTTCTGTCTTCAGGCTCACCACTGCACATTGCCCATTCTTGAAGTCAGCTGGTGCCCTGGGGACCTCCATCCTGAACCTTGGTCCTAGGGGAGATCCAGGGGTGCAGGGCATGAGGCAGAGGGACTTTCCTGCTGTGACCATTGGTCTGTGTCTGTTCTGCTTCCTGGCTCCCCTGTTGTCTGCAGGGAGACCCTCCGGAGGCAAAAGGGGAGGTTCAGGCTGTGACTCCATGGACATATTTGGTGGGGCTGAGGACTGTGCCTGTGGATAGAGCAAACAAGAGGCAAACATCAAAGGGACTGGCTAGAAAATAGCTCTGAGCTGGTGGGCCTACCCGTGCCTCCCTGCCATGAGCCTGTGCAGAAGCCAGGGAGCCAGAGGGTCTCGTTGGGAGCCAGGTCGTGAGTTCTTCCTTCAGTGCCAGCTCTTGCTTCTGTGTTCATCTCTCCTCAGGCATCCAGCCACGTACCTGAGTCAGTTTGTTGCATGGCCACACTACCTGTCTTTATCTAAGAAATCTCTTCTCTGGATATCCAGGCCCAGGAGGTCTAGAGACAGTGAACATGGCTGCAGGGGCCAGGGGTAGGCTAAGCTGCAGAACCATCCTCCAATGCTAACATAATGAGGCCGGAGCCCTTCAAGATCTGTGCGAGCCCTTTGTTTCCTATTTTCTCACCTTGGGGTGGGGGGGTTGTCCTCCTGCTCATGTGTGCGAGCATTAAGTGTGTGCCGCCCAGAGAGGCCAGAAAAGGGTATCAGGGTGTCAGGCGGTTATAAACTTCCCACTGTGGGTGCTGGGAACCTAACTTGGGTCCTCAGGAAGAATAGCAAGTGCTGAGCCATCTCTTTAGTCACTAATACATATATGTGCACATGTGTGCACCCCCCCAACACATAAACACAAACATACATACATACCCCTAGCTGGGCTAGAACTGCATGTAGACCAGGCTGGCCTCAAACTCAGAGGTCTCTCTGCTTCTGTGTTTCAAAAGCTGGGGCAGCAGTTACAGGACAGAATAATCTAGAAGGTCAGTTACCAGCACCAGAGAACCTGCATATAGTGAACTAGCTTTACTTATGGCTTGGAGCTCCCAGCAGGAACTGGCCAAGAGACAGTGACCAGAGATGCCTCAGCTAGGGTCCTGTGTTTCTAGTGAGCTCATCAGCAGCATTTAATTGGCACAGTTTTATTTATGTTACACAATCCATACGTGTAAGGTGTTATCCAGTGCTCTTTAGTGTGCTTATCAGTGTACATCTGTCACCACACTACTTTTAAAATAATGACATCATCCCGAGAGAACCCATTAGCAGTTTCTTTCATCTGCCTTCCCCCAAGCCCTAGGTTACTACCAGATTCCCCGTTGTCTCTGGCCTGGCCTAGAAATTTCACATAAAGGGAATGAGAATATGTGGTTTTGTGTTTGGCTTCTTGCACCCAGCAGGATGTTTCTGAAAGACAGCCATGAATGGCTTGCTGATGACACATGCCGAGAAGTGGGTTACCAGGTGGTCTGTGCAGACATCACAGACTGTACTCACACAAACGTGTGGAACCACGCCTCTGTGTACTGATTGTCACTGTGAGGCCATTGGCTGCTCCTCTGTGGTTTGCATGAATGGATACTGTCCCGTTGCGCGGATGCCTTGCACTGCTACCGGTTAGCATCTGCATTTGTCCCAGCACCTGCCTTCCTACTTACCTCATCTGTGGGCAGCCTGACCAGGACATGTAGAGCAGAATGAGGAAGAGGAGCACCACGAAAGTAGCCAGGCTCGCCCAAAAGGCAATGACGATGGAATCTGCAAGAAGGAACAGAATCAGCCGTGTCAGCCTGACAGCAGAACGGCCTTAGCAAGAAATCAGGGGACAACGCATCACAGAGCCAGCACCTCAGTGGAGGTGGCGTCTCTTCTAGCTGTAAAGATCAGGAAGGTTTCTTAGGAAGAAAGGAAAGTGTGTGAGCAGCTTTTTCTCAGCTGATTGCAAACTAAATGGAATCTCGGGGCTGTCCATGAGCTTTCTCTGGCAGCCGCTGCTGCCTGAAGAAAGAATGCTGAGTGGTGATTTTATGATATCTTTTCTCATTTTGTGAAGCCCCATGTAATGACACCTTTGCTGAGCCTTGGTGACAGGCCCCGGGAAGAAGAGCATCAGGGACCCCTTTCTCAGCAACCTAGGAGCGCTTCATAGGGTCATTCGGCCCTGTTGGAGGTCAAGGTCCTTGACCCTGTGGAATGGGGCCTGGTACCTGGAGGTGGAACTGGCTAGTTACACTCTCTCTCTCAGGCAGAGAAGTAACAGACACTGTTATAGCCAGCACCATATGTGTGGGTGTGGGCACATGGAAACCAGGAAACATGCTTAGCTTCCTCCATCCCTGTGTAGAACCTTGTCTCTGAGGCTCCAGGTCAGGATCATTTGGCAGGGACTGGGGAACTTTGCTATGGGGGCTTGGGGGTGGTGACCTATAGCTATGAGAACAACAGGGTGGCCTCAGAATAAGATGCCCAAGCTGGGAGAATCTGTGACAGAGACTGTTGAAGGACAGTAACCCAGCAAGTACTTACTAAGCACACAGCCGTGCAGTGCAGCCTTCTGTGGTGTGAATTGTAGCGCTGCACAGATGTGAGAGCTAGCACAAAGGGTTCACATGCTGTGTCAAAACTCACGACAGCTTTACAAACGAGCAGCCATCCAGAGAAACGATTGAGGTGTGAGAGGCGTGTAAGTCCTCTAAATGGAGATGGAAGTGGGGCTCTGGGTGGAAATAATGGCATTCCTGATGGGAGCTCACACTGTGTGCATGTAGCCTTCGTGGTGCTGGGACAACTGTAAATCATCTCCGGGTGATTCTCTAGACCCAGCTTGACCTGGCTGCACGCAAACAAACAGCTGCTATGTTCTGCCCATAAGGTCTGCCCATTCTCAATACATGTCCAGTTGTTTTTCAGATCATTTCAATCTGCAGATACATAGTGCTGGCCATATTTGAAAAGAACATGCCCTCTCTGCTTCATACGACCCAGACAGGTAAACAGAGATTTGCAAAAGTAGACCTTGGACTGTAACAGTTAATATCAAAAACGAGGCTTAGGACAGTGGAGGTGGCTCAGCTGGTCAAGAGCCTATTGTACAGAGGACCTGAAGCTCTGACCCCAGGGGTACTTGGGAAAGCCAGGTGCTCATCTGTAGCCCTATTGCTGGGGGTTAGGGGGTTCAGACAAGTGGATCCTCAGAGATCACTGGCGGATCAGCCAGGTCAATTGATGAGCTGCTGAGCTTCACATTTAATGAGTGACTTGTCTCAGTAAAATTAGGTGGCGAGTGATTGAGGAAAGATGCCCAACCTTGAACTCTGGTTACACAGGCATATGTGCGCTTGCACACCACACACACACACACACACACACAGAGAGAGAGAGAGAAACGAACACAAGCCCTTGCCTTTTGATACATCAATACTTTACAGCACTTACACACCAGGGAATCAAAGACAAGACCCAAGATGGCCCTTGTGTCTTCTCCTTTTCTCTCTGTGAGCTAAGAAACATGAAGCAGTTTAAGGAGTCTCTGGGGTCCTGGGATGTGGGAAATGAGGTCATAGTGGATATCCTAAACTGAAAGATGTCAGGTCCAGCGTAAACTCCAATTCTTCAACCCCCCATAGGCAGTCCAAATATCCAGAAATGAACTCAGCCTGGACTATAGGAGGGTTTTCTGACTTAGATAAAAGTCAGCATTCCTCAGGCGCTTGTGAAAGTAGTTGCCATCTGCCAAAAGGAGTCCTTTCCAGTACCTCTGGCAGAAGGGCCATATGGCTACCTGTGGTGCTTATTAGCATAGCAAAGCTCATGCTAGCCTCCAGGCTGCCTTAATATCACAAGTACCTGTTCTGTTACCCATAGCAAAGTCTGTGCTACCACCCAGCTCCTCTCCCCTCCTCCTGGAACTCCTTCTAGCTCCCAGGCTTCCCTCCCCCAACTCCTCATTCTCCTTATAATTATTCTCACTCTCCTCTCTGCTCTGCTCCTGCCTCTCTGACTATTCTTTCTCTCTTCTCTGTCCCCTGCTATTCCCCTCCCTCCCTCCCTCTCTATCTTTGTCTCTCTCTCTCAGATAGCTCTGGCCATGTCCCTTCTGCTGGCCATGTTCAGCCTACTTTCTCTGCTCTGGACTCTTCCAGATGCCTCTGGCTGTCCTTCCTCTCTCGTATCCATCGTAAAACCCTTCCCCTCAACCACACTATAGGCAGTTTATGTAAAATCCTTTTCAAAAGAGCCTTCCAGCTTTCTCAGCATACCTTGCCATGTGACTATACTCCGTCGAGTTAACAGTTTATTTCATAACTTCCAGGTATGAGCATATACTTTATGAAAATTTGGTTTGGGATTTTCTTCCAGATGGGTATTTCTGATTTCTGTGGACACTGATGCTCTCTTTTCCTCTTCATAAAATGATGAAAACTTTGAGGTTCTTAGCTCCTCAGTAAGTTCCACCAGCTACTCAAAGGAAACAGCTTTCAGTACTTAGACCAGAGCCTCCTTCTCACAACTGCCTGCCATAGTCCTGCTCCTTATCCCTGATACTGAGCAGGAAATGAGACAGCCTTTTGCTGGAACTCATTGCCTATGGATTAAGTAGAATTTAAATTCTGTTAGACCAAAATGAGGATTAGTAGCCACTAGTCAAATTCTATGCTGAATTCACTCTCATGTTCCTTTGAAAAGGAAAGCCAAGAAAAAATAGTTTCTTCCTCTTCTGTTGAAAGTTCCTGAATGTTCATAGAGAACACTTTGTCCTAAAGACAAGAACTGCCACCCTTCAGTACTAGAAAGGTTCTCACACCCTCACCTTGTTTTTACAAAGAGGCCCTGGCTGGACTGAGAATGAAACCAGTACCATGGAGGACCCCAACTTCCTCTCCCTGCCTTCCTGCCCGTTGTTTTCTCTTTCATCCCTCCTTTCCTGTCTGATTCACCCTTTCTTCCTCCTCTCCATCCCTTCCCAGTTCACACTCTGGACTGTGAAGAAACAAACACCAACAGAAGATTCACCAGAACAGACTCTGAGCCATGTGCAGCCTTGCGTACCGTTCTCCCAGTTACTTGGGGCACTGATGGAGGAGTCAGGACCAGCTTGGCCATCATCGCAGGACCCTGCCTCTTAAGAGAATGGATGGCAAGCATGGATGGCGTCGCCTTATGTTAGAGGGCTTCCCTAACAAAGTACCCAAAACACACAACCTCAAAGGGGAACTAGTGATTTGGCTCATGGTTTTAGAGACTTCAGTCTCTGGTTGCTCAGGAGTCCAGGAATCCAGTATCATCTTCAAGGGCATACTGCCAATGACTCCATCTGCCAGGCCCCACCTCTTAAAGTTCTGTCACTTGCCAGCGGCACCTCAGGCACTGACGGGACCTTTAGTGTATGTTTTAAGCTTATTAAAGCACCTCAGAGAACATGCTTCATTGTGGCTGAGCAAGAGTGAGTGAACTAGATTTTGTCCTGACATTGCTAACATTTCAGGTTTCTGGTAGGAAATCAACTTCAGGTTTTTTTGTTTTTGTTTTTTTCTTTCTTTCTTTCTTTCTTTCTTTCTTTCTTTCTTTCTCTCTCTCTCTCTCTCTCTCTTCCTTCCTTCCTTTCTTCCTTCCTCCCTCCCTTCTTCCCTCCCTCTCTTCTTTCTTTCTGATTGGTTGGTTTTGTTTTTGTTTCAGAGACAGGGTTTCTCTGTGTATCTCTGGCTGCCCTGGAATTCACTCTGTAGATCAGGCTGGTCTTGAACTCACAGAGATCTGCCTGACGCTGCCTCCTAAGTGCTGGTATTACAGGTGTACACCACCACCTGGCTTAGTTTTTTCTTTTTTTTGGCAGTTGTTGTTTGGTTTCCTTTGTTGGGGAATATCAAAGTGGCAAAACCTAGGCAGGGATTCGCATTTGGACCCTTTTATTTCCTATTTATGACCCTGCTCATTCTGAGACTTTTTTTTTTTTAATATCTCTATGCTTGACTACAAATAGTGCCTTTTATAAAGTACTCAGATGATCAAATAAAATAAGTGTCAGGATAATCCCCTGGCATGGTTTCTTGTTCCTTGTGGTTATGATTTCCAAGGAAAACTAAGATTATTGTTTTTGTCAAGGTTTTATGGCAAGTGATACAGTGACCTCTGGACTCACTAAAATGTGGGGTTTGAATAAAGGTAACTGTGGCAAAGAGCACTAGTCATGAATCCTGGGGTCTGTTCAATGTCCCTGTTTCATCTGGGCTCAGTGCTATCTGGGATAAAAGCTGCATTTGCCACCCTCCTGCAGCTAGGTCCTGGCGTCTTTGTCCAGCTATGGCTAGACTTACTACGTCTTGCATCCTTCCTTATTCCCTTACTCCATTTTTCTGCTCAGCCATGGATTGTGATGTCATGAGCAAAGCCTAGACTGTGGGGTTGAGTGACATGTTTCAGGAAAGGCAGAGGAGTGAGCTTGCTGTCATCCAGTTCCTGAGGATTTCGTGGTGCCAACTTGCCACCCAACTCTGAGATGCCATCAGTGTTTCTCATGGAGCAGACCACAACGATGACAAATTCAAATGACGGCTCCCATTCTACCACAAAGAGAGATTTCCCCTAAGTTTATCTATTGATCAGCTATTCAGAGCACTCTTCTAACTAGTTCCCAGAAACAAATCACCCTGAACACTTGCACATCACTTCTCTCTAGAGATGTTTCAGTGGCTGTGCCATGGTTACCCAGAGTTGGCTGCAAATCAAAGGGTTCCAGTAACAATCATTCAAGGGCCATGCCCTGCAAGGCCGTTTGACGAAAGTTTATTCCAAAGCAAACATTGTGACATCTTTCTCTAAATGTCACTTTTGGGATTTATAGCTTGGGTGTGCTGAAGACATGGAAATTGTGGGCAGAGTCTGAAATTGATTGTTCCTCGTGTGAAAAGAGAGTAAAACACAGCCCCCTGTTTTGTGTTTGTTGAAGCCCCAGTTGTTTTCGGAAGAGGGTGACTAACGGTGTGGTTCTGCTCTTGGAGCAGCAGGTGAATAGACAGCATTATTGAAGCTGCCAGAGGTGGCAGGGCAACTGCAGAAGTCAGTGTGGACGCTGACAGATTCTTCCTAACCCATAATTACAGGGAAGGAGACATGGGCCCTAGAGAGAGGTAACAGAGCATAAAAGCCAGTTCTCCTCGGAGGGAAATCACCCCATCTCACTGCATCAGCCAGTCACTGGAGATCCATCTTACTGGGATAATTCGCTTTGTCTCTGTAAGAGTGGAATGTAGGATTGGTTTCCTTCCTCTGGCCCCTTGCTGGCCCCCAAGAAGGGGACAGAGAGGAAATCAACCCACCAGCTCTGATGGTTCTTTGAAAGCCCTTCTGCCTGTTCTACTGTGTTGGCACATCTCCATGAGAAGGACATGAACTGCATTGAAAACTATAAGGTTGGCATCCTTGTAAAGTGCCTGTAACAGAATCACACCAGATTTTTGGTATATGGCAGCCCACAGCATTTGGCTCAGTCCTGATTTCCTTTGCAACATCGTTAGAAATAACCTCCTAAGAAACTGGGGCACTTGAGAGGCAAACTGGCATTGCGTATGTGCGTGTGGTATGAGCATGGAGGCCCGAATATGCCACGGCGCACATTCGGAGGTCAGATGGGCATGGTCATTGCCCTCTACCTTATTTGGTTCAAGGTCTTGTTGCTCCTGTGTACCCCAGGCTATTTGGCCCACGAGTGTCCACATATCTTCCCATCTCTGCCTTCTGTCTTGCATAGGAGTTCTGGGATTACAGATCTGGGCTGCTGTACCCAGTGTTTATGTGGATTCAGGGGATCCAACCTCTGGTCCTTATGCTTTTGCTTTAAACACTGAGCCACCCCTTCAGCTTGCAAATTAATACAGTCTTTGCTACATTTATTTCTTGTGTGTCCACAGCGTGTGTGTGGAGGTCAGAGGACAACTTGTGGTAGTCAGTTCTGTTCTACCCCCTGGGTCCCAGGCGTTGAACCTCAGCCATCAGGGAAGGCTGAGCTCTCAGACTTTGTTCCCACTGGCCAGGAGTCCTGCTCAGAACAGTGGAGCAGCCTTACAAAGTTGGTGGTGACGAAGTGGGACATCTTCCACGCTCAAAAACTGTTGCAGGATCTGAATATCTTTGAGCTTTGCATCTGAGTGGTGTTCGTTTTAAAAAGCTTTTCTGAAGTCGAACCTACATTTTGTCCAGACCAACATGTGTCCTCAGGTCAGAACTTGTGACAGTAGGTGCATTTTTCAAACCCGCCACTTTCTCCCTCTGCAAGTGTTCCTAATTGTGAGTCACTTGTACAAAAACCTGGCCCTGGGCGTCACATTCTCTACCTGGCATCAGACAGCACACAGCAGAGCTGCTGTCCCCACAGAGGGCTTCCTGTAGTGTTGGGAACAAGGGAAGTCCACAGGGAACATGGATAGCACCTGCATTTGAAACTTGCGAGTTGGAAATGAAACAGGAACTTCATCGCAGAGGGTATGCTAGAAGCCTGTCCTGGGGGATTTGCCCAGCCTTTGTTTACTTTCCTAAATACTAGCATTTGTTTGTTTTGAGCTGCTATATAACCAGTTTTCTCCCTTCCAAATGGAAATCATTCCATCCCTTTGAAAAATTCCATTTACTTTCTGATAGACACATTACCTGACTGTAGTGAGGGAAATAGCCACAGAACCCGAGATTCTTATGGAGTAGGCAGAGGCAGGTTTCCCAGCCTCTCCCAGGGCTGTACCTGTATGCACATTTCCTCTGCTGACTTTTGACCTTGACCAAATAGCGGGACTGATCAGGAAAGATTATCCACAAAGAGCCAAGTTGCCCAAGAGATGAATGAAAGCAGATGAGTAAATGGATATTAACTCATGCTTGTTTGTGCTCTGAGGCCAGAGAGACTGGACATCTGTTGGCAGTTTAGCAGAGATTACTACAGACATCTTAGAGGTGGTAGGAATACATCTCCCAGAACTGAATGTGGACAGTGAGAAAAAGTGAACTCTGCAGCTTGAAGGACCTTACCCAGCTTATTGGAGCCTCAAACAAAGGCAACTTTTTCAAGAAATTTACCTTCAAAAGAGGACTGGGAGCTCAGGGAGGCTCTTGGTTCAGTCCCCAGCAGCACAGGGCGAGAGGAAAAGGACATGAAAATAGGAGGCAACGACTTGGGGAAACAGGGTCCAGGGGGGAAGGAGTGGTGGGTGAGGGAGGGTAACAGGGGCCTGAAAATTATCAGAGTCCATAGTTGGCCATGGTGATGCACACCTTCAGTCCCAGAACTTGAGTGACTGAGGCAGGAGGATTGCTGTGAGTTTGAGTAGCAACTGAGCCAAAGCTATATGATAAAACCTTTTCTCAAAGAAACAAAAACAATTACATTATCTTCATGTCTGAAAATGTTATAAGGAAACCCATTATTTTATACAATTAATATACACTAATCAAACAAATGGAGAATAAAGCATAAAAGTGTGTGTGTGTTTGTGTGCATGTGTATGTAATGTGTGTGTGGTGGTGTGTAATGTATGTATTGTGATATATACACACAGTGTGTGTGTGTGATGTGTGTGCACATGCTCATTCGTATTAAAAGGTCACTGCTGGGTTGGAGAGAGCCCAGAGGGCTAAGGAGGCTCCCAAGCTCACAGTGAAAGAACAGACTAACTTCCCCAATTGTCCTCTGACCGTCACAGATGTACCATGTCACCCCCGCCCCTAAATAAATATAGATGTATTTTTAAAAGAAACAATCAGAGCTAGAGAGATGGCTCAGTGGTTAAGAGCACTGACTGCTGATCCAAAGGACGTGGGTTCAATTCCCAGCATCTACATGGCAGCTCACAACTGTCTGTAACTCCATGATCTGACAACCTCACACAGACATGCATGCAGGCAAAACACCAATGCACATAAAATAAATACATTAATTTTAAAAATAAAGGAACATTCTGCTTAGTTTTATGTCAAGTTAATTCCTAACCTTACTGCTGAGTTTGAGCCCCATGCCTGAGTCATTGTATCTGTGTGTACACCAGCCATATTATTGCTGCCAGGCCAAGATCACCTCATCCAGGCTCAGCCCAGCCTCTGCCTGGCTGCCTTCCCAGGTTCTAACTTACGCTTGTTGGCTCTCAGCTTCTTCTCGTCCACAGGAGCGAGGTCTATGTAGTCCAGGTAATACTCGTAGCTGGTGTACAGGATAGACGCGTTGGTCCTGTTGGCCATGGCTGTGGCTGTGGAGCCCAGTGTCTGCCAGAGGCTCATGTCCGGAGCTGACCAGTGAGCCCCAGGGACGAGGTTGCTTAACTTATTTCTGTCAGAATTACCCAGGCCTGTCTCTGGGTCTCCAGACATGGGGCCTGCCTACTTATCAGAGCTGGAAGGTCAGAGGGCTGTTCCCCTATAGGGCCTCTGGTTCCTGCCTCTCCTAGAAAAACAAAACAAAACTCCAAGGCAAGAAAAGCCGGCAGCTAGAGACAAGGCTTCCCATTCAGCTCCAGCCTGCCTCTCCGTGGATGGACCAGGAACTAGGCAGGAAATCAGTTGGGAGGCAGAAACTGACTAGCAGGGGCTAGAGAGCCATCATTTTTGCCTCTGATACATAAAAAGTGACTAAAACTGCAAGGGATGCCTGCCTGTGCCCTTGGCTTACACAGAGGCAGTTCTTGGTATTATTAAGCAATCAGTAGACCTCTGGCTTGGATTCTGAAGACAGGCATTGTACATGCAACCGCTGTTGTGTGCACAACCCCTAAACTAAAATCCCCAAATCCTGCGACTCAGCTGAATGTGGCCCCCAGCTTTTACCCAAGCCTCCGGAGCCAGCTGGGTGGCCAGCTGCATTTGTTCAGACCCAAGAGGCAGTTTATCTGGGTCAGCATCCCACAGGACCGAGCTCTTAGGAAATACTGTGCAAAGGCCCACACAGCTGACACTGAGTATAAGGAGGAATCTCTTAGGTTACCCACTCACAGCATCATCCCTACACAGCACCTGAGAATGTGAAGGATGCTGGGACTGGCAGCTAATGCGTGAGACACTTCAGGATTTTGCCCTTGGGAGTAATGTACTGACCCTGGGCCTTTCCTTCTGTCCCACCTCCTTTTTAGGTATTTCAGTTCTCCACTGCCAGGTGTCAACAGGTGTACTCTGGACAACTTGATAACTTCTAGTCAGGTATAGTCAGACGGAGGCTGTTGCTACCAAACCAGGTCCTAGTTGCACCCTACAGAGTGTGCCAGTCATTGGAAGTGGTTTTCACAGCAGAGAGTCATTATGTGGCCAAGTGTGAGGACACAGAAGACCCAAGCCTCAACTCTGCAGCGCTGAGGATGGGGGCAGGGACATGGATGGTGTAAGGAAACAGGCTGGACTGGCACTTGGGAAAAGGGTCATCGGAGGCAAGGAATAATGGAGATGTGTGTGACCTGTGTATAGGTGGTCAAGTTTCGTGGCTCTTCAGAGGCCACATGTTCAGAACATAGTGATATTAGTATGCTTCAAGGGTGTGATTTTCAGCTCTCTGACATCAAACCACCACCCTCCAAACACACACAGGAACAAGCCAGGGGTCAGCGTGTCAGCCCTCACTGAGGACAGACAATAGTAACCTCCAAATTCTGAACAACAACTTAGGCAACTGTTAGAACAATTCAAAGGAGTTGCCTAGAGCAAAGCCATAGGAGGGTGTTGCTTGGCTGTGTGACCTCTAAAGCTGATGCTAAACGCACATGACTAAAAGTAAAGAAAATGAAGGGGTTTACTTGGCACGTCCCTCAATTTTGAGGTATTAGGTAGACAGGGGTAGGGAATGTCCTGGCCTTCTCCAGATACATCCCCTCACCCCCACCTCCACTCCCAACCCACACAGGACTTCCCACACTTGCTGGCTGCCCCAGCCTCCTTGTATAGGATCTCAGGGTTCTAGTGAACAGAGGTAAAGGATAAAATCATTTGGTCCTGGTGACTGGTCTCAGTCTCTAGGCAAGATCTAGCCTAACCTCCACAGACATTAAAGTGTGGGCTGAGAGTTCCGGTTCTCTTATTAACATGACTGGATCTTCTGACAGGTCCCCAGGCTCTACAAATCACCTCATAAGCATAATCCCAGGTATAGATCAAGGGAGTTGGCCACTCAGAAACTCCCTGTAAGACCCATGTATGTGATCAAAAAATGCAACCCAGTACATTTTACACTCCCCCTTCTTTTGTAAGCATGTTGCCTGAAGCATTGGTCCTCTGTTGTGTTACAGGAGTACTGAGATTATTTTCCACAGTGGTGAGCATTTGGATTCTTTTCAGCAAGAAGCCCTTGGATACGAGTTGTCCTTGTGACTTTGTTTTGAGTAATTGATAATAGAGACCTGGGGTTGTGTTGGCCCGGGGTGTGACTCAGTGGCAGAGTACTTGCATGGTGTCCACAAGGCCTTGTGGGGATTCAGTTCTCAGAACTGAAAAACAACGAACAAAACCCACAAGCGTGTTCCAGGCTTGACACACTCTCATTCTCCTGCCCCATTGAGGGCGGTGGCTGGCCTCCTGGGGGGACCAGAGGCAAACTGCACAGTGGAGACCCAAGTAAACCTCAGCGGCACTGCGGCCTCCATGATAGGCTGCTGCCGCAGATCTGTGAAGAAGCAGTCTAAACCCAAAGGTCACCAACCCCCTTCTCCATCCCCAGCATGGTTTACATTGGCAATCCACAGAGTTGTGAGAAGTGTGTGTGTGTGTGTGTGTGTGTGTGTGTGTGTGTGTGTGTAGGCCAGAGGACAATCTTGAGTATCATCCCTCAACGGCCGTGCACCTCATTTTCTGAGGGTTTCTCACTGACCTGAAGCTCAGCCAGTAGGCCCAGGGGTGCCTGGGTCTGCTCCCCAGGGCTGAGGTTGCAAGCCTGCATCATCCATCACCTCTGAGCACTTTCTGACTTGGGTTGGACTCAGGTCCTCACGCTTGCAAGGCAAACACTTTACCAATGAGTGGCCTCCCCGAGCCTGACAGCTGCTCCATAAGTCACTGACCTTACACAGCATAGGGTAATTGGTAAATACCCCTACGCCTGTTGCTTTATGTCTTCAGTTGTCATTTCAGTCCCTTTACTTTGACCTATTCTACTAAGCACCTGCTAAATATTTAATTAACTCCTATACTTGTCTTAACTTCTCCGAGTGCTTTGCAAAATATGTTAGACGAAGACCATGATTTACCTATATCAGAATTTATTAATATCAGTCAGACAAAATATTTCCATAAAATTTTTAAAAAGCTGCAAAAATGTTGTAACTGTCAACCAATCTACTTTGTCTACATATGTAAGTATTAAATTAAATGCAATCAAATTTTTGTTTTATTGTTTTTGTTTTCTTTTTTGAGACAGGGTTTCTCTGTGTAGCCCTGCTTGTCCTGGAATTCACTCCATAGACCAGGCTGGCCTGGAAGTGAGAGATCTCCCTGCTTCTGCCTCTGGAGTGCTGGGACTAAAGGCATGTGCCAACACTGCCTCTCTATCTATCTGTCTATCTATCTATCTATCTATCTATCTATCTATCTATCTATCTATCT